ATGTGTGGTTTTTATTTTTTGCTTACTCTATGAGTTACCGAGAGAGCTATACTTGAAATCTCCAATTATGATAGATTTGTCTATTTCTCCTTTTAGCCTCGACTTTCGTTGTATATATTTAAAGCTGTTACTGGGTATCACCGACATTTAAGAGTTGTATCTTCTTAGTGAAAAAAAGGAAAAAACTTTCATTATTATAAAAGGACATGATTCATGTTCTAGACTATAAATTTCTTATAATACTTCCTGCCCCAAAGCCTATTTTGTTATAGTTACATCTCATTTACTGTCTCATGACTCTAGCCTTTAATTTCAACATGTCCTCACATTTAGTCTCTTGGAATAACATATACACTGGGCTTTGATTTTTTTATCCAGTTTGACACTTTAGTCATATCTTTTAGCCCACTTTCATTTAATATAATTACTAATGATGTTGGATTTATGGTTAACCTTTTGCTATTTTTCCAGTTTATTTAATATTTGCTCCTTTAGCCCTCAATCTCCTTTCTTCGGATTAACTGAATATTTTTTCAAAATTGATTTCTTCTATAAATTTCAGATTTTAAATTATTTGTTCTCATGATTATTTTAGCAGTAATCCTAGAGGTTACAATACTGACTCATGATTTGTTACAGTTTTCTTAAATTAATACTTTCACAACTTCCCAAATATAGTAAGGATCTTACAAGTACTTCCACCATTATATATTTTGTAAAAATATGTATCTCACAAAAGTGCATGTCTTCAAGATAAAATTGCTGTTTAGTCAGTATTCTATCTGCCTGTCCATTGCTCTCCATTCTTACTCTGGTTCTACCCTTCCATCTGGGGTCTTTTAGACTGAAGGACTTATTTTTTATAACACAAATATGTTGGTGCCAAACTCTCTCAGCTTTTGTCTAAATATGCCTTATTTTACCCTTCTTGAGAATACTTTTACTGAGTATGCAATTTTTTTTTTTGGTATGGGGATCAAATTTGGGACCTTGTGCTTGCGAGGCAGACGGCGGCACCACTGAGCTAAATCCCCGGCTGAGTATGCAATTTTAGATTGGCAGAATTTTTCCCCAGCATTTTTTTTTTTTGGTACCGGGGATTGAACTCGGGTCCTTGTGCTTGCGAGACAGGCAGCAGAGCCACTGAGCTAAATCCCCGGCCCTCCCCAGCATTTTAAAGATTTGTTCCCCTATCTTTTGGCTTCCAAAGTTCCCACTGGAAAGTCAGCCATTGGTCTTACTGTGGCTCTCTGCAAAGTGTCATTTCTGTCTTGTAAGGTTTTCTCTCTGATTCTCAACAGTTTGTCTATGGTATCCTTAGATAGGTTGTTTTATCTAATTCCACATGAAGTTCCCTGAGTTTCACAGATTTGTCTTTCATCAATTTTAGAAAATTCTCAGCCATTATTTTATCAAATGGCTTCTGCTCCACTCCTTTCCTTCTGGGACTTCAGTATATAGTCAGACTGTCTTGCATGTCTTAAGCTTTGTTTCTTGCTGTTTTTGGTTTGGTTTTGCATTCTTTTTACTGTTTGCTTCAGTTTGATAGTTTCTATTGACCTGTCTTCAAGTACTAATCTTGTCCTCTGCTGTCCATTGTGCTATTAAACCCATCCAATGAGTTACTTTCAAGTATCATTTTTACCTTTTAAGTACTGAAGTATTATAAATCATAGGTGAAAATTCATGATTTTTAGTAAATTTATACATTGATCTACTAGCACAACTCATTTTTCAGGAATATATTTTAGAGGAATTCTGAATTCATTTCAAACACAAAATCCAAATACTGTCAACCAGCCTGTCAATACATGATTTAAAACTTTAGCAAAGTGTAAATTGCCCTCTTGTGGTATTTTTTAATCATACAATAAACAACACCCATTAGCAGTCACTCTCTCTAACCCCTAGCAACCATTAATCCACTGTCTCTATAAAGACTTGCCTATTCTGGACACTTTATACAAATGGAATCAGAGTATGTGACCCTTTATGTCTGGCTTCTCTTGAGAATTTTCTCAGGCCTATCCTTGTAGCATTTATCAGTGTTTCTACATTTTATGGTTACACATTATTTACTATATGGATATACCACTTTCATTTATCCATTCATCAGATGACCATTTTGCTTGTTTCTGTTTGGCTATTGTGAATAATGCTGCTGTGAGCATCCAGATATTAAAGATGTACATGTTTCAACATTCCTGGGTGTAAACCTGGAAGTGGAATTGCTGATTCCTATGGTAGCTCTATGTTTAAGTGCTTGAGTAACAGCCCAACTTTTCTGAAATGGCTGTACATTGTCATGAGTGATGTATGGAGTTCTAATTTCTCCACATCTGGCCAACTGTCCACCTTGATTACAGCCATCCTAGCAAGGCCTGTGGTTCAATCCCCAGTACTGTCAAAAAAGATTACTCTCATCCTAGTGGGGTGAAGTGACATCTCACTGTGGTTTTGATTCACACTTCCTTGAAGAGTAATGTTAAATCTTTTCATATGTACTATGGTGTGAGTATGTTTCAAGTATGTCCTCCAAGAGTTCATGTGTTGAAAGCTTAGTCCTTGGTGTGGCAGTGTTGGAAGGCAGTAAAATCTGTAAGCAGTGGATCCCAGTGCAATCACAGAGGGTGCTACCCTTGGGGGAATTAACATAGTTCTCCTGGGACCCTGGTTAGCTCTGGCAAGGTTGTTATAGAAGTTAGCTGGACCCCTCCTACTTTCTGTGTCACCATATCTTCCACAAGCGCTCCTGCCACTGTAACTTGATTTGCCACAAGGGCTTCCCCACAGCCAAACTGATGGCAGTGTCATACCCTTGGCCCTCCAAAACTGTGTACCAAATAAACAGATTTTCTTTGTTAAATACCCAGCTTCAAGTATTTTATTCAATGGACTAAATGTGTTTATTAGTCATTTGTACATCTTCTTTGGAAAGTGTTCAGATTCTCTGTCCGTTTTTTTTTTTTTTGGTACCGGGAATCGAACTTGGGACCTTGTGCTTGTGAAGCAGGTGGCAGCACCACTGAGCTAAATCCCTGGGCCTCTCTGTCCATTTTTTAATTGGGTTGTCTTTTCCTACTAAGGTGTAAGGATTCTTCAAATATTCCAGATGCTAGATCCTTACCTACAATCCATTTTTAGAACAATCCTATCACCCCAAAAAGATCCCTCTGGCCTTTTGGCAGTCAATTCTCATTCTCACTCCTAATACCAGGCAATCACTAAAATGCTGTGTGGTCCCTCTTTCCTTTAATAAAAACTTGTCAGTATTGTGAGGTTAGCGGGGAGCTTACCTTGACTTTTAGAAACCCTAGGCTTACTTTCTAGCATGTTATGCACAGCTCTAAAGTTCAGCCAATGTCCTGGAAGAGAGCCAGTCATACATGTGGAGCCATCTCAGCTTTCCAATATGCCTTTATGACCAAGAGCCTTGTGACTTCCTCTTCTCCATGGTGTCCCTCTACACGGGCCAAACTCAACAAATATGAAGAGGGGACAAAACAACCAACCACCAGGTTCACCTCAGAAGGGTCTGTCCCTTTGAAATTCTAATCCACATAGTCTTTGTTGCATGCATGGTATTCTGGTGTTTAAAATATTATTTTGATATTTTACTCCAGTTTTCAATTTTTATTTTTTTCTGGTGTTGGAGTATTGAATTCTTGTGACCTACCATAGCCTATCCATCAATTATTAAGTTTTCAACGTCCTGACACAGTGTCAGTCGTTCCCTTTCTTAACCTACTCCCAGATATTTTTTGGCTATTTGGGCATAACTCTTCTGTAAGAATTTTTGAAACCATTTATCTAGTTTTCAAAATTCTTTTTGAGATTTTGTTGGAAAACTGTTAGTTTGGACTTGATATTGGGACCCCCAGTCCCTGCCTTCCTTTGCTTCCCAGCCACATGTTCCTGCACGATGCTCAGTATCACCTAAAGGCTGTCACAGGCACTAAGCAACAGGACCAAACAGTCACTGGCTGAAACCTCAGGTAGTTTTGGTTTGTTTTGTTTTGTTTTTGGTACCGGGGATCGAACTTGGGTCCTTGTGCATGAGCAGAAGGCGGTGAAACCACTGAGCTAAAGCCCTGGCCCAACTTCAGGTAGTTTTTCACAGTGACAGAAAGCAAACACAAAAATAATGTGCACTGAATTTACAAGTTGAGACAATTAAAATGCTTATGCTTTTGAGTTCTCCGTGAATGTGGTATACCTACCTTTTGAGCAGATTTGTGTTAGGCTTTTCAATATTTTTTTGTTTTCTCCATAAAGGAGCTATATATTTTTTGTCAGATTTGATCCTAAATATCTTACAGTTTCAAACCTTTTAGAGCATTTTTGTTTTTCAGAATAGATAATACACTCAAGTTTCTAAAAGCCCAAAAAGGTACACATTGACAATTTCCCTTTTTTTTTTTTCTCTGTCACTCAGGTTTCCTTCAGAAGAATCATATTACCAATTTCTTTAACTTTTAATGTGGCTGATTAGTATATAGTAATTACACTGACATTTGTTCCTCAGCATTGTCTAGAAATCCAGTTTCTTAGTATTGCTAAGATTTCTATTAGATTATACACACACACACACACACACACCTGTAGAAAGTAGTCATTTTGTCAGTTCTTTCCCATTCAGTATTCCTTTACCATGTCACTATATTGGATAGAATGTCTCTAAACAAAGTAACTGTGAAAAGCAGCTGGAAAGCAGTTGCAGTGGAGGACAACTGTTTTATTCCTGACTTTAATGAGAAGGCTTCTATTTCATGCTTTTATATGACATCTGGTGTAGTTCTTAGGGGAAGTTTTTAACAAGTTAAAAAATATTGGTCCTCTTACTAAGAGTGAGCATCACTTTGCCAAATTACTCTCTGCACCTATTTATTTTCCTTTAACCTCTATTAAACATGCTGAATCACATGCAAAAAGTAGTTTCAAGACATTTTTACCCAAGTTGACACTTATTTTCAGGAGGGAGAGAAAAAGATAATCCTTTATGATAGTGAAAATATACTTTATTTTTAATATAATAGCTGCCAGCAATATACTGGTGATGCTGGTGTTCCAGAGAGAGAAAAGAAAATACAAGCATTCTAATAAGCTTTCATTTGCCTATTCATGAAATTCTAAAGAAAATATTCCAATTCTGTTCAACATTATGGCTTAGAAGTTGAATTTTTTGTCCATGACCAAAATATAATTTAGTTGCCCCAACACTGATAATTTGTGAAGGAGGAACTTTTAAAAGCCTATAAATAAAATGAATGCTTCCTTCTCTTTGAATTAAACATTGATTATAACCAGTGTAAGAAATTGGTGAATCAATTAGCTTGATGAAATTTATATCAAAATGTTCATGAAAAAATAATTTCTATTTCCTCTCATTTTTACTTTGTAGATTATTTCCTAAGTGGGATTTTTAAGTGCACAGAAATAAAAAGCTATCTACATGCAATTCTGGAGAAATTCAAAACTCTACAGAAGTAAAAATGTCTACATTCTAGTTAATCTACTTTTAAGACTAAATGTCAGAAATCTCTTAATTGTATACAATTGCTCTAGGGTTTAAAGTTGTGAAGCCAAAATTACCCAGAAATAAAATCTTATTTGACATCTTACTGAAAATATCCATCTAAATAAAATAAAGGAATTTGATAATATTGACTGAAAAAATCTTTCCAACTAAGAAATTTTTTCAGTATCCTTGGAAAACAGACTTTTCACTCAAGACTCCAATCTTCTCATTGAAGTGTAGCAAAACTCGGTTAAAGAAAGAGGGAAATGATTCATTAGTTGTAGAAATAAAATTAAGATGATTTCCACATGTCAATACATACACTACATGAACTGCCATGGAAACTTTACAGCCCAAATCTCTCAGGCATTTAAGCCATGATCTTCCTACAAACATATGACGTGCAGGATATTCCTTTTTACTAGCTTTTGTCCATTTGCCCAACTCAACTTTCTTTGACTAACTTCCTTGACAGAGAAATAAAATCCATCTTTCTGAAGAGAAAAAGTTATTCTGCTTTTGTTAAAATCATAGACTTGCCTTCCTCGGACACTCAGCAAGACAGTCAAGTGTAATCACTGAACAGATAAAAACAAAGAAGAAAATAAATATACAAAGTGAAAATATTTCACAATTGAGTTGCCAAATATTCTTCATCACTCTACTTTGAGGAATGTAGTAGCTCCTTCTGCAGAGCCTCCACTCTGCACCACTTGGTCCACCATTCACACTCTGTCAAGTCTTTCTCAAGCTTAAAGCTTGGAGGTCAGGCTCAATATCACCTAAAGGCCAACACGCTGCTATTTCAAAAGCAGATGAAGATGCTGATGCTTGCCTGTGATGGATGCAGCTTTCACCCACTAAAGCTACTGCAATGCAACTTCTTGATGGATTTTCTAGAACCAGATAAATCCTCATCCAATATTTAATTACAAAAGGATGGTGCTCAAACTTTTATCAGCAGTACAGAGTACTAAGAAAAGCAAGGCAGAGGAATCTCCCAGAGCCAAATGGATACAATATGGAGCTTTTCTTCTCTTTCTGTACTAAGCTAATTACTGAAAGGTTTAAAAATGTAGTATGCTTATAAGTCAGGCTGCTTCCATAAGGCCAGTGCTTACTAAATGTTAGCATACCAAAGGGAGAAAACAGTGCCATCTGAAAGCAATATATTTTTAAAAAGCCTATGAGAAATAGCACTTCTTAGACAAATTAGGTATAAAAATTATCAAAAATGTATTACAGTCACAGCCATAGTCTTTGGAGTAGTACTTAGAAAGTCCATTTTGTTGAAGCAGGAGAAAGAGACAGGAGAGGGGAAAAATAATACAGAACTTTTGTTCTACTTTTACCAAGTTCATTCTCTATTGTTACAGCATAAATAATCTCTAGTTTAGGAACTTAATTGAAAAGCAAAACAAATTTTTTTAAAAACAGAATAGTATTCCTCAGTGTAGTTGCAGAAAAATTTAACTCCAGGGGTGCAGTGATTGAGGTGAGGCAAAATAGCTACCATTTAGTCCAAACGCTGTGAACAATCCTCTGTGCAAAGTCTAACAGTAAATGGAGGTGGAAAAAGAATGTTTTATCATTTTTAATATAGAAAGGATAATGCATTCTTTAGATTATCTACATTAACTATGCTTTAAAACTCACCTGATACTTTGACAAACCCATCGTACATTCCTTAGGTTAATTTCTGTAAGAATTAATTTTTACATTGCTAATCACCATACTGCTGTAACTAAATCAACTAAATACCAATTTATGTAGTGTTGCTCAAAAGATCTACAAACAGCAAGGTCTATTGTTACCTTAAAAGGAGCTTCTTTTTTTTTTTTTTGGTACCGGGGATCGAACTCGGGTCCTTAGCTTGCAAGGCAGGCAGTGGAACCACTGAGCTAAATCCCCGGCCCAAAAGGAGCTTCTTAAAACAAGACGGCAATAATGTTCCAAATGAATAGCACTGGGCAAAATACATAACAAACAACACATTCAGACAGAGTATCAGGTGCCCAAGGGTTTCTCCTATAAGAATCAAATGCCTGAGATCGTGAGAATACCATTCCTGCCTCTAAACTTTTAGCTTCCACATAGTGCCAGATGTTATATTCATATGAAGGATAAATGATTTTAGGCAAAATAAAAAATCTACCTACAAAGAAAATAACAATCTATAGTGATTCTGTAGAAGGCTCCCTTCTCTGGTGATGATATCCTTTAGTTCATATCCAGGATAGACTAAACTGAAACACAGTGTTTTTCTGCTACAGTAGCAATCCTTTCATATGCTCTTACAAAATACTACAAAATTAAAAAAAAAAAAAAAAACATAAATATTCCTTGAACTATGCATTGTGCACCAGTTTGGGGCTGACTGATGTCACAGCTACTCTATTTCAAGAGTTGAACATTGCACCTCAAAAGTTCTACTATCTATACAGAGTGCATGGACATGATGGAGAAGGCTCTAGAATGCCTCATGTATGAAGAGCTTGTGACGGAGTGTCTCCAAACTGGAGGAGAGGAGGCTACGGACAGGGAGGTGGGAAGGATGAAAGGATTTTAAAATAATACTGCTTAGGAGTGTATATTTTAAGATAACCACTATACCTTGTCTATCCTTGGTCCTAATCTTGAATAACTGCAGGTTCATGCAAAATACATTTCTACTTCATAGGAAGAGGAGTAGTCTGTTAGGAAAAGCATATTCTTAGGGGAAGATTTGAAGACATCTTTCTTGCAAGTGCTATTTTACTTGGTAAGTCTTTTGGCGACATCACTGTATGCTATTTCAACCTCCTTATCACTGGGACAGGTATTAGTGAACTCATCCCTACTATAAGCATTAGTTAAGTATCTCCAGATGCCAGTCATTCCTTTTGGAATATCGAAGTTGCGATATTTCTTGGCCACCACCTGAAATACAGAGGTCAAAAGTTACCATTTATTTTCCATGTCTCATAAACCAGAAGTGTGATTGGGTGAATCTTTGAGAACTGCTTCTAAAAAACTAACTAGGCTTCTAAAAAACTAACTAGGCTTCTAAATAATGATTAGAACCATGACTCAAAAATGTGATAGCGACTACAAATGCTTGCTTCAGACATCGAGAGAGACGGCTGAGTGTATTCACTGCATAAATGCGTTTAAGACACACACTATTTTAGATCTCTGTTTTTCTTCCCTTAGATCTTTACTGAACAACTAGTGGTTATTACTATCCTATTTAGAACAGTGTCTCACGGGGCCAGGGATTGAGCTCAGTGGCACCACGCCTGCCTCTCAAGTGCAAGGTCCTGAGTTTGATCCCCGGTATCTCTCCCCCCTGCAAAAAAAAAACCCAGTGTCTCACATAATAAATGCTTGATATTTTTGCCTGGAATAGAAAAGGCCAGGTGATCACAGAATATGACAATATAAAAGTCAGAGTATCAACTCCAGAGTTATCTATTACATCTCTGAGTTTTTATTCAGTAACAGAAAAAAGTAAATAACATTCTCCTTTTTCTTTTTCAGACAGGCTCACTATGTAGTTCAAGCTGGCCTTGAACTCACTATGTAGCCCTATTTGGCCTCAAACTCGAGGCAATCCTCCTGCCTCAGCCTGCCAAGTCCTGCGACTACAGGTGTGCACCATCACATATGGCTCTTTTTCATATGCCTCAATTTTTTTTTAATGTGTATACATTTTTTGGCTTCTCGCCTTATATATTTATTTTTTGTTCGTTTGGTTGGTTGGTTTTTTGTTTTTTTGGTACTGGGGATCAAACTTGGAACCTTGTGCTTACGAGGCAGGCGGCGGAACCACTGAGCTAAATCCCTGGCCATATGCCTCAATTTTAAGACATAATTTTTCATTTAATTCACTCTAGGGTGTTTCAATTATGCCTAATAACCATTATGTTACATTAATTAGGGGGTTCCTAATAGAAGATGAGAGAAGTTTTAAGCACACAGAGAATGCTATCTCAGCAAACATAATTATTAGGTCTAATGACAGCTGACACCACCTCCGAAAGGCCTACCTTGACAATGTGCAGTTTGGGCAGCAGGTTGCAATCAGCTAATGTCATTTCATTCCCATCCAGAAATTTACGTGTAGAAAATTTAATGTCCTCCATACTGTTCTCATCAATTTCATCAGGTAAGGGAGAATTCAAATATTCATCCAGTTTCTGCAGTGTTTTCAAAAGACCCCTCTCCAGGGCTGAAAAAAAAAAGATGGGAACACAGTAAGAAAGAAAGAAAAAAAACCCAACTATCTAAGCCCTAAAGTAGAAGCATTACCCTTTCAATCAAAACCTATATGTCACGCACTTATGCTGACACTTGGCTCCACAGAACCAGATGGACAAGGTCCTTGCTTGTGGCTGTTGAAAGAAGGGGGACAGACATACTCAGTAACATAAACTGAGCGCATATGGCATGGCAAGTCTTGTTGTAAGCACTGTTGAATTTGCTGTTGAGCAAGACATAAAAAGTTCCTATCATCAGACAATTTAAGCCATGGGGAGTGGAATAGTGACACGAAGCTGATCAACAAACTCCCAGGAGAAATGCTGGTGCCATTTACTGAGACATTTACCTTCCTAAGGAGAAGCAGATTTGGGGGCTGTGGAGATGGGTGCAGTTTAAAAGATAGGTCTGAGGTGCCTGTGAGACACTGGAATAGAGATACCTACTAGAAAGTTGGATGTCAGCGTCTGGAACAGGCTGGGCTGGAGCAACATATGAGGAAGCTTTGGGAACACAGTGAACAAGGAAGTTATGGAGTGGACAGGCAGAAGACCTGTGGCAAGAAGCCCTAAGAACACCATGGAGAGGGCAGGAGAGGGAGGAGGCTGCGGAGAGGATTACACCCTCCAGGTTCACTGAGCTACAAATGCCCTCAAATCCTAGCCAGTCTTTGACATAAGGCAGACTCCTGTAACGTTCTACATCAAGGGATTCCTCTATTACACAAAAATACAACTGATTTTTCTGTTTAGTTTTTGTTTTGAGACAGTCTTGCTAAATTTTTTTTGCAACACAAGTCAATCTTTATTGAAAACTGCAGTATTAATACAAAACGGGGCCGGGGATTTAGCACAATGGTTTTGCTGCCTGCTGCACAAGCGCAAGGACCTGAGTTCGATCCCCGTACCAAAAAAAAAACCAAAAAAACCCCCCCCAAAAAATAACAATTTGTTACAATAAATGTGCCTTTAAGAATTTTAAATCTGAGCTCATCAGAGAATGCAGAGGCAAAGGATACCTTTAACACTGGAAGAAGATGCCAACATAAGTTAAAAAGTGCCAAGAGAATGGTGTAAAACACAGAATTTAAAAATCATTTAAAGAGGGGGGAGGCCGCTCCTTAAGGCCTGCACCAGGGCCCAAGGCCCACCCTGCCCAGGGAGCTGCCTGCCCTCCTGGGGTGGATCAGTGACCCCTGGGTAGATCACCACTTCTCTGTCCCATCATCCCAAGTGACTACACCAGAGCCCTGCAGACTAAAGCATGATTATCCACAGGTTTCCCATTGTTCAAACGCATTGAGATTCAAGAAGACAAACAAACCCTAGAAACATGCAAGACTGACTTTCAAGTTTCTACAGAGACCATGCCCTCCCCAGCTCAGCTCAGTATCTGCAGTGCACTCAGAAGTCTGCCAGCCTTTGGGAAGCTCCGGCAGAGTCTGGCTAAACTTAAGTTGGCAAACTTGTAGGATTGTGGGTGTGCACCACCACATCCAGCACAACTGATTTTCATAATGATCTCATATCCAGAGACTTTTTTATTCTGATAGTTTGTAGTTTTGGTTGTTGCTATTTTGTTTTGTTTTTTGAGGCAGGGTCTCCTATGTAGCCCACGCTGGCCTTGAACTTGCAGCAATCCTTCTGATTCAGCCTCTTGAGCACTGGGATTATAGGCATGGAGTGCCACACCCAGCTAGAGTTTGTAGATTCTTTTGAATTTTCTACATACATAAAAAAATGCTACTCTTGGGGTACAGCCCTGAAGTAGAGCACTTACCTAGCATGCATGAGGCCCTAGGGTCAATACCCAGCACCATGAATGAGTGAATGAATGAAGTCAAATAAGCAAAGATATTTGTTTCTGACTATTATATTTTTGTCAGAATTGAGGAATGAGGTAAAGCACTCAATGTCGTTATAAAATACACCCAAAATGTCTTTTAAATTGCAAAGAACTGGCAACAGTTTTTATTTGAGTAAATACCAAATTTTAATGTAACAGGACCATAGATGTATATACATTTTTTATTAATAAAAGGTCACATTAGCCAGAGCTAAGATCATGCTCTTTTTTTTTTTTTTGGAAGATATTTATTGATAGGAAAGCTCCTGAGGGGCAGGAGGGGTCCTGAGTGGGTAGCCATTGCTAACTTATTTTTAAAGAGAAAACAAAAAGCAGAGAGCCCTGGAACTTGGCAAAATAAAGGTGAAATACTAAGTCAACTCAATTGGAATAGGAAAAATGACATTTAAAAATTTTAAAATGGAGCTGGGAATTTAGCTCAGTGGTTCTGGTGCTTGCAAGGTCCCGAGTTAGATCCCTGGTACCAAAAAATAAAAAAAAATTAAAAATTAAAAATTGCCAGGTGTGGTGGTACACACGTGTAATCCCAGCACTCGGGAGGCTGAGGCAGTAGGATTACATTGAGTTCGAGGCCAGCCTGGGCTACATAGTGAGCTCAAGGCTAGTCTGAACTACAAAGACTTTGTCTATAAATTTATTAATTAATAATAATTAAAAATGTAAAGCAATAGATTTAACCTTGTATTAACTTCATATAAGTCAATGATAATGCAGGCAGCTAGCTAAAAAGTAAAGTTTATAAATTAACAAGACAATGCAATCTGAGAAATAGGTTAGTAAAGAGACCAGGACATAATGAAAAACTTTTCGTGGTTTCACTTAAAAGGAAAAAATAAAAAAGAGAAAGAATAGGGCTGGGGATTTAGCTCAGTGGTTCTGCCACCTACCCTGCAAGCACAAGGACCCGAGTTTGATCCCCAGTACGAAAAAAAAAAAGAGAGACAGAGAGAAAGAACAGACTCTCAACATTGTTGAAAACAAGGGATAAATTAGTTTGACACAATTTTTATATATCAGTACAAGGTATGGCCATCAAAACAAACCAAAACAGGTACCAAGAAGTACCAAAACCAACCAGTGCTATTCAATAGATATAATAAAGTTTTCAAGACTACCACAAAGGAATTTGAAGCTAGTTAAAATAAATGAAATGTCAAGATTAACCACTAGAAGGCAGGAGCAGGCCATCAGAAAGTAGCCCCTTGTCTTGAAATAAATAATAGCACTATTATTTTCCAATACCCCTGGTTGTTGTAATGCTGGTATCTCTAAAAAACTATTTCAAATGCTCTCAGAAAAAGTTAAGTGCAACAGAGGCCACATAGTTTTAAATTAATTATGAAAATTAAAACACTTTTTTGCCTACAGAATAGAGCAAAATTTAAATGATTAACTACCCAAAACCCCACATATGAATACTAAGATCATCAGAGGTGTGGGGCAATCAATACTTTTGGGTTTGGGGACATATAAATTCAGATTTAGAGAACAACTTAGCAAGAACAGAGTAAAATTAAAATGCACAAATGTTTTGACCTATTTTGAACCTAGCTCAAGGACATTTACTGGAAGCATTATTTTGTCACAGTAAAGCTTCGAGATGATCTACATGTTTCTCACTGCAGAAACAGTTAAATGATAACCCACAGTGCAAAGCAAGAAGCATTTCTAAAAACTGAAGTAAATCTATATTCTGACATGGATTTCAAATATGTAAGTGAAAAAGACAACTACATAATGGGAATATATATATATATAAAACATTTATGTAAAATGTTTGCAAAAAATTACAAAGAAATTGTTGAAGGGGTCATGTAAACAGAGCGACAGTAAAGTTATATTAAATTTATTTCTATGCTTTTTAACTCTCCAACAAGCATGCATTATTATTTATATGATTTGAATGAGTAAAATTCAAAGCAGAAAGAAGTAAATGAACCATGAGCATTTCTGTTGTGCAACTCATAATGAAGACAAAGATTATTTTAAAGTTATGAATGTTTAACATGGGTAAAACCAAATTTCACAACTACTGCTACTTTTAATAAGGGGAAACCACAGTTTTTAACAGCCTTCCAGTGCCTGCCTCGCAAGCACCAGGTCACGAGTTCGATCCCCAGTACGTGCCAAAAAAAAAAAAAGCCCCAACAATTTTTAACAGATAGGTTGCATATGGAGTGGCTTGCAGAAAATGAAGGGGGATAATGAATATTTACAGATGATTAAGTACACAATGCAATTTCACAGTCATGACTGTGAACAACCACCCTCACTCCCATTTTCCTGAGAGAAAGCAAGGACCCATGAGAGACGGGGAAAACGCCAAGGGGTTGAGGGAGGGCACGTAAAGGAACTCATCGTTACCTCTAGGTTATTCATCTCCACTTAAAAACAAGAATTTGGACATTATGAAATAAGCCTCAAGAGTACACGACGACAGATTCCAGCAATGGTAAAATCATTTCTCTCTTAAGAATAATATAAACACCACCAAAAGACTAGTTTTATTTGGAAGCTCAGAAAATTACATAAATTATGAAGTCACAGAACTGAAAAAACTCAGGGGATTTGGGATAGGTAATGTCTAATCCATCCCCATAAAAGTAACTGCTCATTAATTTCTCTTTTAATGGTTAAAAGGTTACACAAACTTTCATTCCCAGTCAACTTGGACCTGTTACCAAAAGAATTTTGTTTGCTTGCTTTTTCCTTCCTTCCTTCCTTCTATCTATCTTTCATCAGTTTCACTTTATTTTCATCTTTAACTCTTACTTACTCTGCATCCCAATCTAAGCACTAGTCCTTGTTTCACTTTCACCAACCCAAAGCTAAAGCACCCAGGCATCTACTCCATTCCTTACAATTAGGTCCTGAAAGATCTTACACTTGTCCAAACTAGGGCTGGGGATGTAGCTCAGTGGTGGTGCACTTGCCTAGTATGCATGAGACCCTGGGTTTAATCCACAGTACTCCCCTAAATGTCTAAATATACTAGATTTTATAAATATTTAATAGGCTGCTAAAAACGAATCAAAGTCTAACTACTCTGATTTACCATGTAAAATTATAACCCCATCTCTATGTAACTTATCAGTAGTTGGATGAAGTGTTTGGGGGAATAAGAAGATGGATTACTATCACTAATCTTCTAGGTTTAATAAAGGTATCTATTTACACTAAACAGAGAAAAGACCTGCAAGGAACATACTTAAGGGGCATCCATAAAGCTCCACAGTGATTTGGAATAATGTTTTCTAAAGTCTCATGGCAGTGACAGGTCCCTGGAGGGGGAAGTTGCTTGGCAACTTGGATTCTTATTTACCAACAGGTAATTTAATATAACACCTTCTAAGTTATGCACTGTGGAATCCACTAAGCTGTTTGTTCTTATTGGTAATAACATTCTGAAGACAGTATGCGTAGGTGGCTACTTAAGGCTGTATCAAACTAACAGGAGAAAATAGAATCCACAGTTATACTTAAGTAAGTCACTTTTTCTTTCCTCTCACAGCCCCCACAGCAAAAGCAAAGTCATTCTATTCCCTTTTCCTCTCCACCAAGAGTCAGAAGATATTTTAACCACCCTCCCGCCCTCAAAAGCCACACAGAGAAATAAAAACCTAACTTTAAGAGTTCAAAGCACAGTGCAGCAAGAGGATCTGGGGTATAAAGGGCAGTTTTATGAAAAGAGCTGCCCATCTGCATGAGGGCATGCACCACAGCAGATGCCAAAGGAAGGGGGTCCATCATAACCATTTACTTAGTGTTAAATTGCTTGAACAGAAACATTAGTCAGAAAAAAAGCCAATTACTAAAGAAAATTGCTTCCAAACCAAGGGAGCTACTAGAACACATTATAAATAGATGTAAGGCAGGCCTGGGCACTGAAACTTTTCCTTTTTAACTTCACCACAGAAAAACACTTCATAGGCAGGGATGTAGCTCAGTGGCACCTGCCTCACACGAGGTCCTGAGTTCGATCCCAGGTACCAAAACAGTGAGATTCAATACTAAATTATAAAATGCTGCAATTTTGAAATTAATAATAAAAAAATCACACTGAAAACCCTGGCAATCTTCCTAATGGAATCACATAAGGAAAGGAGCAAGTGCTTCTCTTGGGGGGAGGGGGGCTGATTTGAGAGAGGGTCCTGTTATGTGGCCTAGTCTAGTCAACATCTTCCTCCCTCACTCTCCCAGGTGCTGAGATTGCAGGCATGGACCACCATACCTAGCAAGTATTTCACTTAAAAAAAAAAAGTTGTTCCTACTTAACCAGCACTGATTATTTTTTCCCCTTGGTATTTATTCTTGTTCATTTTTTGCTATGAACATGTATAACCCCACCAAAACTACTGAACTGTCTAAAACTATTTTGGGGGGTTTTTTGGTACTGGGGATGGAACTTGGGACACTGCACTTGCAAGGCAGACGGCAGAACCACTGAGCTAAATCCCTGGCCCTCTAAAACTATTTTTAGGAGCTAGCTTTTTTGCTTATTGCTATAAATTTAAAGCACTACCACTATCTTTACACCATTTTCCCCAGAGAGAACAATGCTTAACATTCCAGAGGAAAAGGAGAAATCACTGAATGGTGTAATTGAGACAAGCTCATTAGATGGGACTATTTTCAAGGAAATGTTCCCTTCACAATACATGAATTTGGTAAATGAAATAAAGTATCTTTTACTAAATTAAAAATGGCATCTGTACTAAATAATTCTCACATGGACATATGACTTGAAACAGAAATTCTACTTTTATGATGCAAATTTGAAAGGTTATTGAGTCTAATTACTTCTGAAAGCAACTCCAAAAACTGCTCTTTGAGGATAATTAGTTCAAAAAAAATCACTCACACTGATTTAAGCCTGCTGGCATCCAACAATAAACAAAAGATGTAGTAACAGTTTAGGTCAGGCTAAATCAAATGTATTTCAAACCACAACTACACAAACCATTATTGTTTATTTATCCCTAATTCTCTGCATAGCTCTGTTCATAGTAACTTTTCAAAAGCATGGAACAGCTTCACTCATTAAACATCACAACATCAATGTAAGGACTTATCCTAGTTTATCACCAAATCTCTAACTGATTCTGAAAGATAGTTTTAATACTGGAGGAGGCAGGTGTGGTGGTGCATGCCTAGAAGACCAGCAGTTGGGAGGCTGAGGCAGGGGAAGTGCTGCAAGTTCAGAGGCCAGAATAGGTTACATAGTGAGTTCAAGGCCAGTCTAAACTACATAGTGAGACGCTGTCTCAAAACACCAAAACAAACAAAAATACCTGGAGGAATCCCTAGACTCCAAAATAGTCATTTATAATCACTATCACAATAATAGTTTTTAATTTTTTGGGTGTTTTGTAGTAACACAATTCATCATTTTTGGTTTTTACCTTCATTAGCCTCTGGCCTCGAGTTCTTGATGTAAGCAGAGAATTTGGCAAAGATGTCCATTCCGGCAGTATTTGACTCTGGGTGTTTTGGTGAAAGCTTTAAGTACCTAAATAGAAAAAGGGATAATGGATTAGAGATCCTTCAAAGATGCATTAGCATATTCAACCAACCAACAAACCATTATGCCAGCAGTTATTAGACAGCCTCTAATAATTACTACTCTAAGAAATGCCATCATCTGTTTTCTATATTTTTTAAATACATTTTTTTCCTTAGGAAACAAAGCTCTACACAATGTTTTGTTCACATATTAATATTCTCGGCAACTGAAGGGCATCTGCAGTCCACCTCCATTTGATAATTAGAATGCTAGGAAGGCAGTTCACTTGTTCAGAGATTTGTGCCAGGCCGACAGACATCTTAGAATGAGATTTCTCAAGCAGTGATGTCCAAGAGGACTTTCTGTGATGATGGAAGTGTTCTGCAAGGTCTATTATAGCAGCCATTAGTGCCATGGAGCTATGTGAGTACAAATATAAATGAATACAATTAATTAAAATTCATTTCTCAGTTGCACTGGTCACATTTCCAGTCCTTGGTCATCACTGGACAGCAGCCAGACCTTTAGTATGCCATGCACTGAATCAGCCTTGCACCCAGCACCAGAGACTGAGGGCAGGAAAACGGACCGGGCTGCTCAAGTGTCTTCATCACCCACAGCAGGGTGAGGGTGCAAACAGTAGGAGGCAGACTGCTCACTTCAAATCTGCACCCACTGACCAAAATTAGTCAAATACTGCAGCAGACATAAGTGCTTCTTTGGTACATCTGTCTTTCTCTAAACAAATTTCCAAAATTCTTTTTCTTCTCAACCAGTATTTACCTTTACATACATTTTTTCTAATTAAACAATCTTAACCATCAAAAAAAAAAAAAAAACTTTACAGAAAGGTAGGTCTGAATTTCATATTACTTATATATTCATTATTCACACATATATTCATTTATTCTTATAATTACTAAGCATTTACTACATTCCAAGCAGTGTACTAAGTGTTGGAGATATAATCATGAGCACAAAGAAGCATACTCATTACTTCAAAAATATGCAAATGTGCCAGCTAGAGACCTATTTTGGTGAACAGATAAGAATAAAGATTTGCATGCTGGGTGGCACATGCCAATAATTCCAGTACTCAGGAGGCTGAGGCAGCATAATTACCACAAGTTCAAGGCCAGCCTGGGCTACATAATGAGTTCAAGGCTGGCCTGAATTATACCAAAACCCTGTCTCAAAAAAACAGGGCGTGGGTGGGGAATAAAGACTTGCTGGTTGCAAATCTTTATTCCCCTCACTCTGGCTTTTTAGGAAACAGATATCAACAAAATTTGGGGGGGACCCCCACTGTTCTCTAAAGCAGGTTAAACATTCTGAGATAAATGATTAGATGTATACTACTAACTTAATGTGAATAGCTACAAGAGACCATTCATCTCAAATCTCTCATTTTGCCAAAAAGGAAATAATATTTCTGAAAGCTTATAGTTGTCCCCACCCCCAAAAAAGTTACTCAACTAGTAAAAAATATCCACAAACTAAAACTCAGATCTCCTGTTACCAGGCCAGTGTTTTTCCCCTCTACTACAGATCATACTGTTTTTAACAGATAAATCTAATTCTAAACCACTAAGTCCAAAATCAATTGCCAATTTTGAATCTCTCTCATATTAAATTTTAAGTCATCCATTATTAGTTTTAGCAAGTAGCTTGATTAAACAATGCTTTTCCAATTATGGTGTTTAACATTTTACAAAAGGGGGACAAAAAATTCGTGAAAGGCTATGTGTCAACAATAGAACAGATGTGAGTATCCAGGGTACTGATTTTCAAATCAATCCTTTATTCTGTATTACATCATGGGCTGGCTAAGAATATTTCTATCCTGGCAGGAAAAAAATTTTTCTCCTTTCTCATGTTAAGAAAAAAGACAAGTTATATAGCCTACCAAATTATCCTTGTAAATTCTTTCATTGTATTTTTCACTTTTAAAAAATGAATTAATATTTATACAACCCTCCCCTCTAAATTTATCTATTCTATATTATGTTATCCTTCCTTTTATCAGTATATTAGCCAAGCATAGTTCAGTTAAAAATCCACATCTCAAAGCTTTTTGACAAAGTAGTCAAAAAGTCTTTCAAGGGCTGGGGATTTAGCGCAGTAGTACCCTCCAAGCCTCACAAGCCAAGGTCCTGAGTTCGATCCCCAGTACCAAAAAAATAATAATAATTCTTTCAAGTAAAAGCAAAAGATACAAAAATACTTTCCCTAGAGGAAAAAAGATCACTTTAGAACTTATAGTGTCATGCACTAATGAAAGTTCTTTGAGGTAAGCTTTCCATTAGCCTCTAAATTTCCAACAGCTCTGGAGTAGACAATTCCCTGCATTTGCCATTATTTATTCACACAAAAAGTTCTGTTCTCTAAAGGCCAAAATCATGCAGAAACACCAGGTCCTAGTCTACCGGCCTGCACAACTTTCTGCCTCTTCTCAAACTATCGAGAAACAAGAAGGCTTCCCAGCAGCGCAGGTGGGGGATTAGCAATAGGTAAAGACGTCCTGGAGAAGCGGTGGTGAACCTATAGCACACGTTGTTGTGTTTTTCTTTTAAAACAAATATACGAGTTGTCCGTTCTAAACTAAAACCTCAGTGTTCAGGTTCAATCGCAGTGTTGGCCCTTTGCAATGAATAAGTGGGTTTTGGGTTGCAGTTTGGGCACCCCTCTCTAAAAGGTTCACCATCACTGTCCTAGTGAGAAAAGGCAGTGAGCGAGACAGGAAGGTCACAGAACAACAGAGGAGAGAGCAAGGGACACCAACAGTGGCTCTGGAAACACTTCCTCCCCACTCTTACTAAAGAAGCAGTACTGCACAGAAGAGATTACGCTGTTCTGTCAACATTTTGAACTACAGCTGCAGAGTCCACTAAAGGGAAGGCACAGCACCTCCGAACATGCGGTTCCAATGCATGTAAATCAAGGAAAATTCATCACAAGGAAAACCTTACCTATGTTTGTTTTGTTTTGTTTTTTGGTACCCGGGATCAAACTCGGGACCTTGCGCTTGCAAGGCAGGCGGTGGAACCACTGAGCTAAATCCCCGGGCCTCCTCACCTATGTTATTAAAGCATTCCCTGAATTGTTCAACAATTCACCTGCTTATCACAAAAACTATCTTTGACTTCTCTCCCGCACTTCCTCTAAACTTGATCTAGCCTTCAATTTTGTACTCACTGAAAACAACCCCAATTAAAGACTTACAATTTACCTCTTTTAGAGAATCTCAACCCACTGAAATAAAAGAGCAGAAAACAGAAGACACATTTTTAACGTCCAATGAACCTGGTACTCCAGCTCTAACAGGTTTAACTGTGAGATCTTGTACAGATTATTTGGATTACTTCTCTGTGAGGACTGACATCATCCACAAAGCACAGTGCACAACATAGAACAGTACTTGAGCATTACTGGTAACAGGACAGGCACCAGCCGCATCTAAATAATCCCTTCCATATGAAGTAAAGCCATTCAGACACTCTTCAGAATATAAACTACGGCATAAAGAAAAATACCTGAGAATTTGGCACCTTGTGAACACTTTTTATCATGAAAAGACCATCTCTGATTATAGTATCTATGAATTCACCCAAATGGGGCTGAAATTTCTATTAAAAAGTATTATTTTTGATATAGAAATGTTCACTTCCAAGGTCCAATTCAAAAACTGTATCTTAGAGAACACTGGAGGCCAAGAAACCAGAACATTTTGATGTTAATTCTATTTCCTCCAAGAAAAAAATAACAAGAAATAATAAAATTTTTTGATTTGTTGTTATTGCTAATGAAGACTAGTAATATGAGGTAATGTCCATTTAACTAAAGTGGTATGTGTATTATCAGCCCACTAGTTTTAAAAACTTAAAATACAGTTGGAAAAATTTAAACAATAACCATTTTAGCCAATGTTTTAGAACAAAGCAGTTTCTTTCTTAGAAAATAAGTGAGTCAAACTGCTTCCCTACATATACATATGAGCTAATGTCCATGTAAGGATCCACGGGTACATGAGCAGATCACTTGTTTTTTCCCCAGTACTGTGGACCAAACTCAGGACCTTGCGCTTTGGAGGCAGACACAATGCCACTGAGCTAAATTCCTGGCAAGCAGATCACTTTTAATCAGTGTCAGAGGACATGCTGACAAATCACAGCTGATAGATGCAAGAAAAAAAAAGGGATCTTTTTCTTAGGCTCTGTGATGCAACCATCTTCTAAAAGTCATTCCTACTAAGTTGAATACATGTTCCTAATAGTTCCTTACTGGTGTGTATAAACCTTCACATTTTATAAGAATTTCAGGTTTCATTTATTGGTATTCAAAATACATGCCTATCCTAGAGGAAAAATTAAGATACTGAAGTTTTTTACTGTTGCTTTTTCCAGTATGTACTGGAGATTACATTTGCAAGGCAAGCACTCTACCACTAAGCTATATTCCTAATCCTAAAATACAGCTGTATTAATGCTGGTCCGGATTCACTTTATTGGAAATAAAAGAAGATAGGACTCCTGGAAAAGAGATGAAAAAAGTCATGCTCTTAGAAGGAAGGCAGAAGATAAACTTTTGAATTAGTATAAAAACAGATGGAGAGAACACAATTTCAGATTGACCCCAAGACTGCTAACCACCAGGGAATTCTGCTTACAGCAGACAACAGGATGGTGGGAGACAAGGCAGGGTTCCTCACGCTTCTTCTAGCCACCGTCCTGCCCGCCATTCCTAATCCTGCACATCACACTCCAGCCATTCTTCTAGGTCCCCAAAAGAAATAGTTTATTCAAAATGATTCTCTGCCCTAACACACTTCCTCTCCCCTCCCACCAGCCCTCCTTTCCTTCCTAAATAAGACTTAATTCAAGTGTTGCCCACCTCTAAAGCAACACTTTCACTTATACCTCATCCTTACACAACTCTCCACTCTTACCTGACTGTGCTTGAGGGCAGGAACTGTCTTATTCAATATTGTATCCAATCTGTCTTTTATCCTATTAACTGCCGAATGAATGAATGAATACATGAATGGATGAATACTGAGCAACTAATTTTAGAGCCCTCTGACATAACAATCCCATTTATGGGATACTTACTTGGACAAGGAGGTTCCATGAAAGTCATGTTTAAGCAGCATGAAAAGCTTGGGTCAAAGGAAAAGAAACATGCTAGTCTTTAAGATAAGGAAACTAGAAAAATCTAAAAGAAAGTAACAATGCTTTGAGCCTATGCTAAGATTACAACAGGATGCAAATTTGGGTAGCAACCAGTATAGTATATGTAAGACTTATAGATCTGGAACTTCTCAAAGTGAGTAAATATGAATTCCGAGGATACAGTGGAAAAAATTTAATTCCCCTGGATTCAAACTGTACTTAGGGAAGCTATCTTTATAAATTAAGAGCTGGGCTGGGGATTTAGCTCAGTGGTTTCGCCACCGGCTGCACAAATGTAAGGACCAGAGTTCGATCCCCCGTACCAAAAAAAAATTAATTAAATTAAATTAAATTAAGCGCAAATCACACAGCTCAATGTACCACATGCCAGCTAGCAAGAAGCCAATTATAACTAGCATTAACTGGAAGGAACCTAGAACAAAGCCCTGGTCATTTTAAGGTCTCTAAAGACAAGCTAAAGCTTCAAATAGGTGGCAATATTTCCAAGCGTATTTTATTTGATACTCACTTGGGAGGGCATAAGACTTCTTCAAGAAATTCCTCAATCTTATTGACATCAGTTTTGACTTCATTGTTGAAAGTTATAAATGGTGGGTGGGTCCCAGGAGCCAAATTCTGCAGGTCTGCAGGCTTCCTGTCAGGCAAAAGAGTGGTCAAAATGAGATCATTTTTTACTCTAAGAAGGCAACAATACTTTAATTCTCAGAGTGGATGTAAACTTTATAAAATACGAGCATGAATAAAACAACTGTTTTTTTTCATTAAGTATAAGAAGCTGTAAGAGTATGCTAACAAGAAGAAAATCTCCACGAAGTATATAATCAATGGGAAGACAACGAAGAGCCTCTGTCAACTAAAAGACACAGTCTTTCATTCTCATTCTGAATTTAAATAAGGTGCTTATTAGAGATGGCTGAGAAGGAGGAGAGAAGAGGACTTGGGAAAGTCAGCCTCGGCTTCAATTCTGTTACCAGCTACTGTGACTGCAACTATGATGGATACTGAGTGTGCCATAACTTCTCCAGGCTTTTTTTTTTTTCAAGTAAAGGAGAAGAGAGGCTAATTCTCACAATTCTTTTCAACTACAAGATTCCAAGTCCTGGGCTACCGTGTCTTTTCACAGTAGCCCACCCTCATGCTGTACTTTTTTTTTTGGTACTTCTTTTCCTACATTTACTGGCCCAAATTTGCTCTACAGGATGTTTCTTTTCCTACCTTTAAAAAAATGCAAAACCTCACTATCATTTAAAAAAAAAAAAAGATTCCAAATCCCAGTGCTCTCTTCCCATTTTCAAAGCCCAGACTTAAGAAGGAAAAGGACTAATATCAAAATTACTTTAACATATAAAAGATAGCATTAAGTAAAAAGCAACTCCGGGTGGGTAAAATATTATACAGCGGGAGAAAGGCTTAAAATCTGTTACGTAAGAATGTTGGCCAGGAGTGGTGGTGCACACCTTACGTAGTCCCAGCAATTCTGAGGCTCAGGCAGGAGGATTGCCACAAGTTCAAGACCAGCCTGGGCTGCACAGCAAGTTCAAGACCAGCCTGAACTAAAACACCAAAACTGTCTCAAAAAACAAAAACAAACCAGAAAAAGAAAAGTAAACATTAAACTTTTAAAAAAGTATTGTAACACTATATCACTTCAAAGAACTTCCTCCCCCATTATAGCCCATAAGGCTATTTATCTTGTTTTCAGATTAGTTGTCCTCCATGCCTTCTCCTTCCTGACCACAAATGCACAGAATTTGAATAAAAGAAATCTTTAAGCATTTCATGAAGGTGCAACACACTTAGAACAGAGTGGATTCTACACCTATACTTGGCACAGCTATCAATTTCTCCTGCTCTTATTCATCCATAGTCTCTCTGAATCTATCTTTCAATTTAGGTTGAGGAAGGCTTCTTCTTTTATGACTACATGGCGGCGTGTTTTGAGGCAGGGTCTCACTATGTAATTCAGGCTGGTACTAAACTCACTATGTAGACCAGGCTGGCCTTGAACTCACAAAGATCCTCCTGCCTCAGCCTCTTGAGTGCTGAAATTACAGATGGGCACCACCACGCCTGGCTTTTTATGATTATAACTGTAATCAAAGACTATGATTATTTGATTAATCCAAATTTTATAACAAAGAGGCCTTCCTCTTCTCAAGCTCTCGCGCCTCTCTTCCAAACCAAGCAAAAATAACATGTTTTCTAGCAACTTCTAAAAGAACCTAAACTCCTTGCCAGATGTGGTGATGCATGACTGTGACCCCAGAACTCAGGAAGCTGAAGCGGGAGGATTGCTGAGTTCGAGGTCAGCCTAGACTATATAACGAAATTCCATCTCAAAAACAACAACAATAAAAGAACCTAAGCTCCAAAAGTCAAGGTCTGATTCAATTTCCAACTCTCATTCTTTCCCTGAGGACCAGTCTGCCATGGTGAAGGTAAGCACAAAATGATGGGAGTACACGAAACCTGAGTGAGGTCTGGCAGGCCCACATTCACTTATATAGTGAGGTGAGCCTATGTAACATTACAGTCACTTCTGTTATGTACTCAACTCCAAGTGAGAACAAATTCTTTTCTATTCTCTACCTCATTGATTTCTTTTGCCTATTCCTTTCTATTCATCATCCAGAACACCTGTTTTGGTTACTATGGTTACTAAAGTCCCCTTCCCCATCTCCAAGACCACAGTCATCTTTAGTCTGGAAGTCACTTACTTAGGTCCTCACTCACAGACTTCCATCTGTTTCCATTTATAATTTATTTCCTCCTTGTCTCAGGAAGACCCTTGTTCATAATGAAGAGTCTAGATACACTAACAATTCAAGATTTATATACTTATTTTCAAACTTTAAGATTTTCAAGTTTAAAGAGTTAACGAAAAAGCATATCTTATAAAAGCAAGAAAGCTAATAAAACTTGTACAAAATATAAAAGAGGCTGAAAATGTAGCTCAGCAATAGAACAGTTGCCTAGTGTGTGCAAGGCCATGGACTACATGCCCAGCACTGACAAAAACAAATAAAAACAAAACAATACCCCCCCAAAAAAAACACAAAAGAGGAAGATACAACACACATCTTTCATGAAACGATGCCAGTAATGAATAGGAAAGTTCTTTAAGGGGTGGGGATGTAGCTCACTTGGTAGAACACTTGCCTAGCATGTGAGGTCCTGGGTACAGTCCTCAATACAAGGGGAAATAAAGGTTCTTTAATACTGTCATGTACAAAATGTGAACACTTGGAAAATAATTTTCTCATTCCAAAGTCATAAAACTATTGACATTTGTATAAGAGTCAATTAAGTATAAGGTAGAAATAGAAGTCTTTCGTTTTACAAATAATTTTTTTATAAACAGGGTAGAAGAGGACAGAGGGGAAGACTAGACTCAATACTTTAAAATAACTCATGGAAGCCAGGTGTGGTGGCACACAACTGTAATCCTAGTACTTGGGAGGCTGAAGCAGGAGAATCATCATGAGTTCAAGGCCAGCCCAGGCTACACATTAAGTTCAAGGCCAGCCTAAATTACATAGCTAAACCCTGTTTCAAAAAAGCAAAAACATACATACATACATACATACATAACAAACAAAAACAAAAACAAAAAAACTCATGGAGCCAAGCATGGTGACACATGCCTATATGTAATCCCAGCACTCTGGGAGGCTGAGGCAGAAGGATGGTAAATTCAAGCCCAGCCAGGGCAACCTCGTGGAACCATGTCTCAAAAAAAATCTTTAAAAGGCTGGGGGGGCCGGGGATTTAGCTCAGTGGTTTCACCGCCTGATGCGCAAGCGCAAGGACCCGAGTTCGATCCCCAGTACCAAAATAAATAAATAAATAAAAGGCTGGGGATGTAGCTCAGTGTGAAGGGTCTGGGTCTAATCCCTAGTACCAGTAAATTAATAAATAAATAAGTAAATAACCCATGGAGGGGACCAAAATAAGTAACAGCTATAGCCTGTGTAATTAATTATGACAGCTTTTAAGCTTTCCAAACAAAAACATTTAATAGAGAGGGGAAAAGGTGGCACAGCAGAGAATAAAGAACCAAAGACTGGAGAAAAAGGACTGAAGTCCCAAACTGAATGGCTCTGCCATTTATCATCGCCAAGTGAGTAACTCATGCTCTCTTTGGGTCTGGGTTTTCTCATCTGTCTAGAAGACCTGCTTTGCCTGTAAAGATCAAATCAAACAATGCAGGTGGATGTGAACTAAACAAAAGTATGCAAATAGAATGCTTTCAATATCACATCAGCAAAACATTGTACAGGAGATAAGATCAGTAGTTTTAACTTTAATAGAGCTAATGGTTCATAACTGGTGGTTATCTAGTATTAACTGATTTGTAATAAAAAATCTAATTAGAAAACACAGAAAAGCAAGGAAAGTGAAACCAAGCAATTATTACCAATTCTCCATTACTATTAGTGACTAGTGATTAATTCATCATATTTCTACTGAAAAGCTAATATAGATTTTTTAATTTTTTAAATGATAAAAGCTGGGCGTGATGGTGCACACCTGTAATTCCAGCACTTGGGAGGCTGGGACAGGAAGATCACCATGAATTCCAGGCCAGCCTGGATGCACAGCGAGACCCTGTGTCAAACAAACAAAATATAAAAACCAAAAGGTGATAAAACTGTTGAGATGGACAACCATCTCAAGTCCTTGTTCCAAATGAAAGCAGATTTGAGAAACTTTAGTGGTTCTAAATGGGTTGGCAGACTGCAACTAAATGCACAAGCTCTAACCAGTGAGGTAATTGTCTTACAAACTGTGTCATCAACCAAACAGAGGCCTCCCTCCCTGGCACTTCAGGGCCTCAGGTGTTCCGTTAGACTCATAAAGATTCATTTCACAGATACTTAACAGAAACTTAAGACTGCAAGAATTGCAATTTGAGATAAATGAAACTGAACTGATAGACAATGGAATGGCTAAAATTTCGGGGACATCTTTGGTTTACTTCATAAAAAACCTTCAACAAATATTCAACTCACTCAAATGTTTCCCTTAACTGATGTCTAGAAAAAGCAAATGGTACAGAGCCTTTGAAATAAGGCCCTGATTATCGTCAGTGTTTGGAAGGTTTCCCCCATACTTAGCCTTATTTATTCTAAAAGTATTGTGGCCGAAATAAATTATTCTGTTCTTTTCCATTTTGTTTCTAGATTTAAAAAAGGAAATAAAGCAAAACAAAAACAAGAAACAAATACAGGAAAAGGAAGAGCTTTAAAGGAGCAAACATTGTAAGAAACTTAAGTGGCTCACTTTCAATTAAAATTTAGTTCAATATACTTGCAATAACTAGAGAACACTGGACTGGTGACTCAGTTCCAGCCACTGCTTATAAAATGAGCACAGCATAGCTGCATGACATTGGAGCTGGCTCACGAAGATGATTATCTGTAACTAGTTAACTCAGCAAATGGAGAAAAAAGTACCAAGTATGCAAAACTTATCTTTTGAGCTCCTGTTTTAAAACGCTGCTTTACAAGACATAAAGTTGATTAACACAGAACAAAAGGATACTAGGTACTATGTAAATAACCACTTACACAAAAGTTAGTACCACAGAATCCTTTAGTTTCAGAACATTTTACTCCTATTAATTATGCCTTACTAGATTTGGTATCTTCTGGCTTGATTAATATTAAAGCCACTAAGTGAATAAATTAATCACACTCATCAAAAGACACACACCACGACTCCTAAATACTAAGCAACTACCCAGTTCAAGTGAAGGATGTTACTGACTTGATTAAATGTGGTACACCATATTGCTAATCTGTGTCTATTTTAATATCAATTCGTGGGGAAATATTTTAAAAAGAAAATAGCACCCATGAAAAGATTTCAAATATAGTTTCTAGAATTATTATTATTATTATTTTTTTTTTTTTTGGTACCAGGGAATCCAACTTGGGTCCTTGCGCTTGCGCAGCAGGTGGCGAAACCACTGAGCTAAATCCCCGGCCCTAGAATTCTTAACATATTTTAATAACAGTTGTGTAAGTAGAGTTTATGTTGATAACAGGTTTAGAAAAGCATTCACTAATTATTTTTCTAATTCAGTTCTAGTGGCTGAACCTTTGAAATCATCTTGAAAAAGAAAAAAACACATGGCAGCAAAGTTCTTCCCATGTGCACACATGTATGAGAGAAATACATGCAAGATTCAGATTTTATTCATGAAACACAATTGTAGGGTTGCTCTAAAGCAGTGATGGCAAACCTTTTAGAGAAGAGTGTCCAAACTGCAGCCCAAACTCCACTTACTTATTGCAAAGTGCCAACATTGCAATTAAATCTGAATACTGAGGTTTTAGTTTAGAAAAAACAACTTATACATTAATATCTTTTGTCTTCGAAGAAAAGCAAGTAGGCTGGGGATGTAGCTCAGTGGTGCCGCGCCTGCCTGGCAAATGCAAGGTCCTGTGTTCAATCGCCAGTACCACAAAAAAAAAGAGAGAAGCAAGTAACACACATGCCATAGGTTCGCCATCACTGCTCTAGGGGCTTCCTGGAGCGCAACTCAGCTTTGCAAAGTGGAAGAATGGAGATGTACTCTCCTGAATGGCCAGCAGCAGGAAATGGGTGACTTCTCTAAAAGCTGTCCTGTTGTATCCCGCTTGGTCTCTCTCCGTGGGTCTTTTATGCTGCTGTTAGGGAAGATCTGTCTGGAAGTGGAACTTTCTTCTCAACTTACTAAAGACTGTTTTAGAAGGGTAGAACTGGAGACGTGGTAATGAAAGTAAACTACTTGAAGACTATTTTGGAACCAGACTTTGTTCTGAGTTTATAATTTGTCTTTTAAGAGATGGCACAACTACCAGTATCAGTTTCATAGTAACATTTTAAATTATTGCAAAATTGTTTAAATTATCACAATAATCTTCCAAAACTTTATGCCATTGCTATGGTAACTTACATGTGAATGTGACTCATACAATACATTGTAGGTGGTACATTTACATCTGAAGCAGAAGGAAATCACTAAGGACAATGCAAAACATGAGACAGCTTCATGTTAAGGTGAGAATTGGAGAATGGAAACATTTCCCAGATTTTTAAAAACTCATCTCCAATTTAGTCTCTTAAGAGAATATCATGGAGGATTTTATTCACTGATAACATTGCAGGCATTGTTACTTTTACAATAAAAAGCTAATTTCTTAAAGTTATCATTTCTACCCCCATTTTTCAAAACCAGAAAAGTTTATCCCAACAAGTATGCTGCATCAGCTACATCAGGTCGGTGTGCCAGAATCTTTCATTTCTCTCATATTACCATTCTTATACTTCCTGCTTTCTCTTCCACTTGCCTACTTCCTAAGCTTATCCCCAACATTGAAAGGTTTAAGATCTAACTATGCTGTAAAGATACGAATCTCTGATTTAGGCACTCCTGGGCAAAATGAAGATAGTGAAGGTCTTCAAATAAAGACCTGGAGGGCCAGGGATGTGGCTCAGTGGCACCCGTGCCTGCCTCAAAAGCACAAGGTCCTGAGTTCAATCCCCAGTATCAAAAACAAAAAAACAAAGACCTTGATCACCTGCATGAATCTGTGAGCCAGAAAACCTCTATAAAACAATGAATTCTATTCAATAACAGGTCTGAAAATAGTAAAAAGTACCCTAAACAATACCTTACACACAGATGATACTGAAGACATCTTAGTCTCCCTCCCCTCCTCCTGAACTTAAACAGGAACTAACTGCCCTGGAGCTGAGGCAGCTGCTCAAAGGTGCCAGTGAAATAAGACGGCACGGTTCTTTCTCTCTAGTCAGACCTTAGTCCTGATACTCCCTCCTATGCCATGGTGGCTCCCCCATTTGGTGACATATGCTAATACCTGTAACTGTGCGCCAATTTTAATACCATCACATACATATATGCAGCTTTTGTTCAAATGGCAGTTGATACAAATCTAAATTCTTTCTGAAGGTGGATACTTTTTTTTAATCTAAAACTCCTTTAATACAACTGTAACACGAATAGAAAATTAGGTTTGGAAATAACTACTAAAGCATTAAGGCTGCCCTGGATGCAAGTAATGGGTGGTCGTTCAAAGCTTCACAAAGAACAGATGAATACCACCAGAACAGTTATTAACACCAACTGAGATTCAAAGAGAATGTGTGGTGCAGTCCCAGCACTAGAAGTGGGCTTGTTCCTTATGGATGAAATGCCATGCAACAACCGTATTTTCAAAGCATAAAGTGGGCTTCTAAATAGCTCTCAGGGGAGCTATTTCTACTGTTCTCCAGTGGTTTGTTCTAGAATCAGTACTTTTCACCAAGGAACTAGGCAATTACCATCAAAAGCAACACACTAAGCACTACAGGTATTCTCTCCCACACAGATTTCTAGAGTCAAATGTAATGTTTTAAAAATATATTATGAAAGATATTTTTTACCATAGGATGTTCCATTCTTCTGTGACAACTTTATTTTACTTTTTTTTTTACCCAATGTTTACTGTTGCAAAGGTCTGAGAGGATAAAGCTTAAACTTGTAAGGAATTATCTTTGTAAAGGGGAAACCGACAACCAGCTCTAGGGGAAAAGGGACTCATCATCCTCTACCACTTGGGCACATTCAGTTGCCCTTAAAAAGCATTTTTAAGATGTACTGGGGAATCTAAGATTTCTAAAAAAAAAAAACACAGGCTTCAGTTTTAAGTGCTCTCTACTGTTCATTTTACACAAAGCCCTAGGAAATACGCACTTTATAACATTTTCTAGTTACAAGTCCCTGAATGCCTACTTTACACGCATAACTTTTTATATGCAGAGTACATTACTCTCAAACATATATACATCTCCAAATATGAATCAATTTACAGCAACAATGCCTTTAAAAATGCCTTTAAAAGTCTATAAATGAAAATAAACAGATGACTGAAATAGCCATGATGGATTCACTTCATTTTCAGGACCAGATTCACTACTGTTTGTATACAACACAATCAAGCACTGTGTTGAGCAAAGAAGGCTTTTTCAGTGAACATGAAAAGCATGGCAGTGAACTCACTTGTTCCAAGCCAAAAATGGAATAGGAGAAATTCACGTATTTTAGGACATAGTAAGGGTGTATGCCTGGTGGCATGGTCTATTTTTAGGAGTTATACTGGGAAACTTCCTTTTTGAATCATACAGGGAAAAAAAAGTAAGAGAAGGGTAACTACAGACTTATGTCATTCTTAAAATAGCTCTGCCCAATACGAACTAGGTAATGTCTTCCCAAGACCCTGTAGTTTCAAATCTCAAAGGCTGGTTTCTACTTTTATATACATAACTAAAGGGGTTTCTGGAAGATTTCATGGCTTATTTCAATACATTTTAAGTCTACAAAAAAAATTTTTTAATAGCATTGGAAATAAGCAAAGAATAATTTTAAGGCATCAACAGAGATTCCAAAGTAACTTAACCTAGAACTGGGAACTGGAGTACAGTTCACAGATAACTCTGGATGTGATGCTCACAAAGGCTAATGTACATCAATTATGCCACCCATCAAATTGACAGTCCATCAATACTGCTCTCTGGATGCTGTCCATGACTTGATATATTTAAAAAAATAATAGTGAACAATGCTGTGGCACTTATGTCAAAGGAATACACTTCCACTACCAAATCCTAGATTCTCCACTGACATAACTATTCTTAAACTTTGTTTTAAATATTTTGGGACTGCTCTTTACCTCAGACCTAGTTGATAAGGAAAAATACAAATTCCTAACGAAAAGGAGCTCCTTACTGGTTAGGGCTTTTTTCAGCCCTCTTCACTCTGCTCTATGGAGAGAAAGTTATAAACAACCTTTCAAATAATAAGAACAGGGCTTGGGATTTAGCTCAGTGGTTCCAGCACCTGCCTCGCAAGTGTAAGAACCTGAGTTCGATCCCCAGTACCAAAAAAAAAAATAATAAGAACAATCACAGGGCCAAGGATAACTACTCTTACTTTATTTATACCTACATTTAATCAAATATGATTAAAATTGTGTCACAGAAAACTCCTGATTATTCCCTGAAAAGTAAGTTAAATGAAATATACCATAACAGTATTGAGCCTTCTAAAAATCCTGCTTTCTTTCAGGGTCCAGATTACAAGAAGTCATGTATTTAGCACAGTTGAGACAAAGAAGGACTGAGAGTTCTTCATTGCTCCATGTTCACACTAGAAAATTCAAGGATTTCACCGTATCCACAGTAAAACTTAGCTCTGGGTGCTGCTCATGAAATTTAAGGTAAATATAAAATAGTTCCAAAAAAGACTGCGAAGCCACATGCAATTTACTAACATAGAACATTATATAGAATATTTAGACAAGTTAAATTTGTCCAGAAACGATCAGAATTTTAATAAAACATATTTTCTTTATATGCAGTCTCAGTGAAGAATAAGAAGAGGACCAAACTGAAAATATAGTGAAGTATATACTCTCAACTTCAACTGATCCCAAACTGCAACCATGTCTTACCTTTTCAGGTCAACAGTTGTGACACTAAACACAACTCCTTTGAGCCAAAGAATCATGAAGAGCCTCTGGGAAAAGGGGCAGTTTCCTATGCTTTCACCATCACTGCCGGCCTGCAAAACAGAATTAAATATTAAGAAAAAAGGTCAAAATGATGCCACTGAAAATGACAGAAGTTTCTACAAATTTTAATCAAGAGTACTAGAAGACAGGAAAAGTTACATTGTGGAAAGAAGGACAGAAAGCCAGCTCTTTATTATTTTGGTCTTTCACTTGCCTTATAATATTCTGAGAAATGACCAGTCCAGCACAGTGCTGTCCAAGAGAATGCTCTGGAATGGCCAGGAGAATCTATATTACCACTGCCCAGTGTGGTGAACACTGGTAATATCTGGCCGATGAGTACTTAAAATGTGGCTACTTCCAATGTCCCAAATTTTTTGTTTTATGTATCTTTAAATAGCTACATGTGGCTAATGGCTATTCTGACCCAGTGGGTACTTACATTCCTGCTTCAGTGCAAAAGCAAACTCCACCATGATTTTATGAAATGTAAAAAACTAGGTCTTATTCTATCTGACAGTATTCTTCATAAAGTAATGTAAAAGGGAAACTTGTAGGTGTGCCTGCCAACCCACCTCACACTCAACAAAAAGTTCATTATAAATATCCCCTATTCCATTTCACACATTCCTTCAGGGAAAAAAAAAGATATCTTTACAATAAACTATTTCTAACCCTATTTAATGAATGAAACAGATGACTTCCCTGAGCTCAACAATGAGGCATAATTTTTCTAAAAATTCAAGTGGGAGGACTGGGGATTTAGCTCAGTGGTGCCGCTGCCTTCCTCGAAAGTGCAAGGTCCAAAGTTCAATCTTTGGTAATAAAAAAAAAAATTTCAAGTGGGCTATATCTTTAATCGGGTATGCCCTACATTTACAAAGGAGAAAAGAAAATATTCTGGCATTTTTCTGGTGATCAACACAGCCTCTTTATGAGGCCATGAAGTCTATGAAGAGTTACAGAAATGACTTCAACAAGTCACTCAAAGATGGTGGTAAAAGTACTGTTTATTAGCCAAAAGCAGTGGCGGCAAACCTATGGCACAAGTACCACACCAGGCTGTTTGTTAACATTGAACGCTCCAAAAGGTTTGCCATCACTGTCCTAAAGTTAATTCAGAAACATTTCAGTAAAATGATGTATCAATCAAAAGTCATTAATTCCTTAACTAATGGAAATTGGTTCCTGAGCATGTTGCTCAATGTAGAACTCGTGCTTAGCATGGGCTAATTACCCTGGGATCCATCTCCAAACCAAAAAATAATTTTTTTAATAAATAAAATAATAGGGGCCGGGGATGTAGCTTGGCGGTTCTGCTGCCTGCTTCGCAAGCGCAAGGACCAGAGTTTGATCCCTGATGCCACACCAATACATACATATATATACATACATACATAAAACAATGGGAGTTGGAAGAAGTAAGAAACAAAAACTGGGCATATAAGGAGGATCTTAGAACTCCATTCTAATGAGACAGCATGGGATAGTTAACAAATGAATGTGGTTTAAAAAAAACAGGCCAAGCATGGTGACGTATGCCTATTATCCCAGCACTCAGGAGGCTGAGGCAGAAGATTATTTTGAGTTTGAAGACAGCCTCAAGTACATAATGAGTTTTAAGGCCAGCCTGAAGTACACTGTGAGACTTTGTCTCAAAAACAACAACAACAAAAAAAAAAAACCAAAAGCCTGATCTTTTTTATATTATCAAAACACACATGGGCCGGGGATTTAGCTCAGTGGTTTCGCTGCCTGCTGTGCAAACGCAAGGACCTAAGTTCGATCCTCGGTACCAAAAAAACCAAACAACAACAACAAAAAAACCCACAGGATTTGTAGCCAGATTAAATCATAAATTCCTAATACTGCAACTTCTACAACAATGTACTTATGAATGAATAAAAATGAAGGCCTAGTTTTTAAACTTTAGTGTGATTGAGAATAATCCAAGAAAAACATTTAAAATAAAGATTCCTGGCCTCACATCCAAAGATTCTGATTCAGCAGAATTCCTGGGTGGGGCCCAGGAGTCCTCACTTTATTCCTGGCAGCCAAGAAAATCCAAGGGGGCATCTACAGACACAGTGGGAAACGCTGGTGTGGGAACATCAGGGTGATGTTCCTTTCTCACAGTCCAAGATGGCTTCCAGTGCTCAATCAACTAACACCCTCACACCCAGCTATTGCTATCCTGAAAATGCTCACCATCCATCTGCAGCAGGGAACACTAGTAACATGTAAGTGAGACTGCCTCAAATACAGTCAACACACTGTCTTTTGGGGCTTGTGATGAATATGTTCACACCAGGTTTGCAGCTTTTGATTACTCAAATTTTGCTGTTCCTGTTTTTTCCTATTTTTAAGATACTTACCAACAGGGGTATAAAAAAAAGTATCCCTTTTTTTTTTTTTTTTGGTACCGGGGATCGAACTTGGGATCTTGTGCTTGCCAGGCAAGCACTGGAACCCTGAGCTAAATCCCCAGCAAGTATCCCAAATTTGACATTAATTGAAAATGCAAAAAATTTTGATAGAACAAAAAACTAGCCTATGGCTTCATCCTTTTTCATTTATTTAATCTCTAAATTTAACTGTAATTTCCCAAGCTGCCCGTCCTAACAGGTAAAGAAGATACAAGAAACATACTGTATATGGCACTTAGAAACTCTCTAAAGCAGGCTGGAGATGAGTACAGACTGGTTACAGATTAAAACCAAAAAATAATTTCCTACAGTGGTGAGCAGGGCACGTCCTCAAGTAGGAGAATCTCAGGACCTAGATTGGTTCATGAAGACCTGCTAAGGAGGCAAATTCCCTTTTGCTTTCACAACTGACTGACCCCTTTGTCTATAATTTCTAGCAAATTTTCTCATTTTACTTCTCCTTCAAGTAGATCAGAAGTTTGTTAAACACCTCTCAAACCACATATAACTACTTTCCTTCATGCACACAAAAATAACAGCATGCATACTGTTGAGATCTTTTGTTGTTGTGTTGTTTTGTTTTTTAAGACAGGGTCTAGTTATGTGGTTCAGGCTGGCCTTGAACTCACTATATAGCCCAGGCTGGCCTCGAACTTGCAGTGATCCTCCTGCCTCAGCCTCTGGAGTGCTGGGATTACAAGCGTGTGCCTCCATGCCAAGCTCAGATCTTTTTTAAATGCCCTTTTTTATTGACTACTCTCCCGAAACTCATCACAAGTAAGATATAATCACTATGAACAAGTTTTTTTCTAAAGTTTTAATAGCATCAGAAAATTAGGAGTTCCTAGGCAGGTGGTATTTATAAAAAGCATGATGAAATTGTGGAGAAATTCAGACTTCTACAAGGCACAAGTCAAAAACTTCCTCCTTTAGGTTGTACTAATACAACTCCATTTTAACAAAGAATCAAAGCTACTCTGTTTATGCTGACTACTTCTAGTACAGCCTGTTCACTGCTGCAGGTGCCTAGGGAGGGCACTGTGGCATGTTGGGAAGTACACTGTACAGCAGTCAGGTATCTTTATTCTACATCCAGTTTTGTGTAAGAAGCAGAAAAATTAGCGTGAACATATAGGTATCTAACATATCATCTATGAAAACTATCTGTAAAAAATACTTTCCTTTTCACTGTTTCTAACACTAATATACATTCATTATTTTCAAAATAAGTAAGAACTGAAACACTAGAGAAAGTCAGACACTGTATCCTTGAATCACTGGTTTAATTATTCTATATTATTTTCCTTGTTCATGCAAATTTTTTTCTTTTAAAAATGTGATTAAGGGCCAGGGATTTAGCGCAGTGGTTTCGCCACCTGCTGCACAAGCTCAAGGATACAAGTTCAATCCCTGGTACCAAAAATAAATAAATAAATAAATTTTTAAAAATGTGATTAAAAGCTGGGTGTGGAGCTAAGTGTTACCGCATTTGCCTCACATATAGAAAAAGTAAAACAGAAACACTATTATATATCCACTTTTCACAAATTACACATATTTCCCCTAATTTAACATGATCAACCTTTTGGAGGGTGTACACCCCTGGCCAGAATGGCATCCGAGAAGGTCAAGGAGGGAGAAGAGTCCTCAGCCAGTAAGAGGGTCCCTCCTCTGCCCTTCCCCACAGTCCCTGCTGGGATGGAGTCAGGGTCCTAGCTAGAGAGACGAGCAACCAGGAGGCCACCTCTACTGAAATATCAGTGAGATCACATGAGGAAGTAGAACTCTGACCCCTTCCCAGCAGTGCGGAGCCTCTGTGCCTTGGTATCACAGAGACCTAATGGGAAACCTGGACTTCCACTCTCCACTATTCTTTCTCCCCATCGGAAAAGTTTAAACAGAAGGGTTAAACAAAATCCAGGTCTTACATACAAAAATATCCAGGTTTCAACAGAAAAGCCCTGTAATACCAAGAAACATCAAACTGCATGAAAAAAGGCAACCAATAAATGCCAACACTGAGACTGAAGAGATGTTAGAATTGTCTGACAATATCTAGAGAAGCCATGATAAAACTGCTTCAATGATCACTTATCAACAGCTGGAAACAAATAAAAAAAAAAATAGCAGCATCAGTAGAGAAACGAAACATACGTAAAAAGAAGAACCAGAAAAAAATTTTACAACTAAAAAATATAATAGGTGAATTAAAATGCTGCACAGATGAGCTCTGCTATGGTTTTGGTACTGAATGTCGGCATGGTCCCCAGGGGCACTACAGGAAGGTGCTGTGAACCCTCCAGGGATGGGGCCTAGGGGGAGGCTCTTCGGTCATGGTGGGCACACCTTTAAACGAGGCTGTGAGACCCCACCTTTTCCTCTCTGGCTTCCTTGCCCTTTCTTTATCCTGCCACACATTCCCAGCCACTGTCAACCAGTACACCCACCAGAGGCCCAAGGCAACTGGAACCTCCAAAACTGTTACTAAAATCAAACTTTTCTCTTTATAATTTAATTATCTTAGGTATTTTGTGATAGTAATGGAAAGCTAACTAGCACCGGTTCAAAATCTAAATGGAAGGTACAGAGAAAAGAATTAGTGCACTGGAAGACAGAATGATAAA